CAGTGAGACATGTCTGCTCTTGGCAGCACCAATTTACTTCAGAGAGGAGGATGGGCATTGAAGACACTCTATATGGAGTTTATCTTCTTCTTGCAAAAATAGCCATTTGGGCAAGAAATTCTTCTTTCCTGGACTGCTTGATTGACTGGACATGCAGGACCCATAGGAAGGTGACCACTGAACTTTGCTTTGCAAAATGGTCCTTCAGGTTCCTGCTTTGCAAAGGAAACTGCCAGACATTCTACAGGACACAGAGAGAAGTGACTGAGAGACTCTAGACCTATGGGCTGAAGACAGATGCCCCAACTTTACAGAGGAACTTTGAATAACTGTCCAGGCTGCCAGCTATCTCTGTCTACTTTTGCAAGACTCCCGAAAGATGCTTGTGTCCTCCTGTTTCTCAGGTCTTCTATATCCTTTTGAGGTCTTTGATGTGTTGAAGACTAGTTATAATTTCCTTAGTTATGATAAAAGATAAGTTAGATATGAAATCTTAGACTCACAAATATAGGATAGGATATCTTCTTTAATTTTGCCAAATACAAATAGACCAGATAGTGTAACTATAATTCTTGCTTGATAATTGTTTTGTTATATGTAATTTTACTATGTTAAAGTTAAAAATCTTCCTTTTTGAAAAAAAAAAAGAAAAAGGGAAGTGCTGTGGATGGATATCAATTGCTCTGTATGCTGTGAATGTGTTGCTCTGATTTGGTTGATAAATAAAATGCTGATTGGCCAGTAGCCAGGCAGGAAGTATAGTATAGGCAGGACAAGCAGAGAGGAGAATTCTGGGAACAGGAAGGCTGAGTCAGGAGATGTTGTCATCTGCCGCTGCCGTGAGAAGCAAGATGTAATGTACAGGTAAGCCACAAGCCACTTGGCAATTTATAGATTAATAGAAATGGGTTAGTTTAAGACATAAGAACTAGATAGCTAGAAGCCTGCCACAGCCATACAGTTTATAAGTAATATAGGTCTCTGTGTGTTTACTTGGGTCTGAGCAGCTGTGGGCCTGAGGTGGACTAGAGAAAACTCCAGCTATAAGTCAGTGAGACAGAGACACAGAAAGGGACATGCACATACACAAACAAACACACACACACACACACACAGAGAGAGAGAGAGAGAGAGAGAGAGAGAGAGAGAGAGAGAGAGAGAGAGAGAGAGAGAGAGAGAGAGAGAGAGAGAGAGAGAGAGAGAGAGAGAGAGAGAGAGAGAGAGAGAGAGCCATTTGCTGTGGTATGTGTTGGTGGAAATCAGAGAATAACTTGTTGGAGTCAGTTATCTCCTTCTACCATGTGGTCTCAGGGATCAAACTCAAATTGTCAGGCTTGGCAGCAAGAGCCTTTCCCTACTGAGCCATATCACCAGTCCAAATGCTATTTTAAGATAGCACATATTTCCACTAAAAGTTTCAAACTGTGCCTGACACAGAGCCGAGCAATATTTGAAAGGTAGTAATTCAGAGATTTCAGGAGTCCAAATAAGCTTATTTTTGCATGCATTAAAATCACCTACACTATGCAAATATTTTTTATTTTCATTATATTTTTCTTCACGTAATTTACTGTCGCTTAAAATTAATAGGTCTATGTCCCCTACACTTAGCAGAAACAAATAAATATTAAAGAAACACACACAAACAACAATCAACTAATTTGCTGATTATTGGGAAAGGGGAGAGGACCTTAATGAGTCCAGTGAATCAGACAGAAAATGAAAATTTTTGACAGCTTATACTGATCTCTGTGAAACCTGCCTAGTGCCCCTGCTATTTGTCACTATAAAGAAGATAACACATGTTGTGTTGCTTTATTACACACTCTTTTCCACTCCAGTTAACATATTTTCTTGATTTGTCATTTCTAGTACTTTAGCTAAATTTATGCCATTTTATTCCCTTCCGTTTGACTGATACTATGCATCTTGATTGCTTGCTGGAAAAATGATTCCATCCACTAAAGAAAGAATGCAGATTGAATCAACAAAGAATCCTATAAAAACCTGACATCCTTTGTAGGGTTTGACTGGCTGGCTACCCACAAACCTGAGCATGTGTGGGAAAACTTCTTTAGGTCTCTGCCAGCTGATTAACTTGTAGAAGCTAAGATCAACTGACAAATTCAATTATACATTCAAATTATATTTCTAAATTGGCTTAATTTTTTTAAAGTGATGAATGATCCTTAAGGGAAAAATTCCATTACAATACGAACAAGTAGAAATTAAGTCTCAGCCTTAACATGGTGCCTGTGCACCCAGACTTCCCAATTTTTGTAGAGTCATAGGATGGGTTTAATGAAGAGAAGTATCTGTTTATAGGCCAACCATGACATTTGCTTTCTAGGAAGGGAAGGAAGTTTAGAGTATAGAGAAAAGAATAGCTTTGAGAACACAGTGAGAGTCTTCTGAGACTCCACACTAGCCACGGAGACCATAAACAGACAGCACTGTTTGTCAACAAACCCTCTCCCAAGGTACAGAATTTGCTAATTCACTTCCTGGTTGGAGTAATTCAGAGAGAAGCCATTGCTGATTGCACAAGGCATTTCCCACTTAGGTTCTCACACAGTTGCATAGCGATAAGTAATGTGTTGCCAAACATCTGCCCCCTCTGGAGACTTAATGTACCATAGGCAGAAAAGAGAGAGAAATGTTTCTCATGTGTTCTCCTATTAGAGTTTGAACCACTGTCAGCAGCTGAACACTGCAAATCTCAATTTTATGGATCAACTTGGGACCTAGACTGTTACATAAAAATTGATTTTTTACACGAAATGGAAATTAGCCATTTTTCCTACAAATGCTATTGAAAAAAAAAGTCTATTTGACTGATAGATTATAAAGCAAACTGACCTTTTCCTTTTTTCCTTCTATACTGAGAAGTTAGCAAGACATATAAACTTCAATAAAAATTACACTAAACTCATTATCTAAATCTTTTTCACTAGTAAATCACTTTCATTTGTCAAAAATGACATGCAAGATTGAATTTTCTCAGTACTAACATATTTTCTGTATTGTAGTTTATTACCTTTTATTATTCAAATGCTACCTGTATTGTTTAATTATTGAAATTGACTCAGGGGAGCAATCCACCCAACTACATCTCCTTAAGATAGCTATGACACAAGGTAAAAGACTTGGAAAATTGAGTTTCGCCCTAAGTGCCATCTTTGAGTATTCTGTTAGATTACTTCAGATAAAGAAAAGTTAAACATGTAAAAAAAAAAATACACAGCAAGTGTGGTGAGACTAGGGTTGAATCCTGGACACCACAGCTAAATGTTGGTGAATTTCTTCAGTGGGGGAATATTTCTCACAGAGAATCAAAAGGACAATGAACAAGAATTGACATGCTAGTGATCATAGTTGAAGTACTGATAATAGAATACATACAGAGCTCACTAACTCACCTGTTGACCATCTGTAGCTAGAGTTTTCCTGCCTGGCCCACAGTCAGGACAAATCTCTCTTACCTGTCAGTCCCACAGTTGCTCAGACCCGACCAAGTAAACACAGAGACTTATATTGGTTACAAACTGTATGGCCGTGGCAGGCTTCTTGCTAACTGTTCCTACAGCTCAAATTAATCCATTTCTATAAGTCTGTACCTTGCCACATGGCTCGAGGCTTACCGGCATACTTCACGTTGCTTGTCATCATGGCAGCTGGCAGTGTCTCTCTGACTCAGCCTTCCACTTCCCAGCTTTATTCTCCTCCTTGTCCTGCCTATACTTCCTGCCTAGCCACTGACCAATCAGTGATTTATTTATTGACCAATCAGCAACACACTTGACATACAGACCATCCCACAGCAACCATCCAATGAAAGGATGAACAAAATGAGGCACATGCATGTGACACTATATATGGAAAGAAAAAGAAATGGTTCCTTCATGTATCCTACAATATAACGAAACCACTAAAACATTAAGCTGAGAAAAAGAAGCAGGGACAAATGACCGTGTATTTTATGATTATACTTTTTTTTTTTTTTTTGTGGGTTGTACAGTATATCAGAAAAGCCATGTAACCTGCTGCACTTTAGTTCCAGGACATTCCACTTCCATGTCCGTGCATGTCTGTCCCATGAATCTGTCCTGTCTCTGCACCAGCTTGTTCTGGATAGTGGACTTCCGTGTCTGGTCCCCTCATTTGCTCCACATTCCAGTCGGTGGGTGACACGCATTGGAGCTATGTGACTCTTCCATCATGCAGCACATAGCAGTGCTCAGTGTATACACAGACAAACAGGGACCTCCCTGACTGTCCACCAAATCTGGGAAGAAGTATGCCAAGGTATGGGGAAACATTGGTCCACAATGGGTCTGTGAGGCTGGTGGCCTTTAGTGTACACAGTGATACCCACTCAAAACCTCAAAACCTAAAGAGTCAGGAACGTATAGGGGACCAAAATGCCCCAGCCCCTAGGGAGGCAGGTCTTGCCTCATGCAGTCTGGTGGCAGATGCAGGGCTTGCCCTGAGAAGCCTCCCATCCGAAGACACTGTAGAAAGGTTTCCTGTCAACTGTGGGGCATGTTAACCCACTGCACCCAGCCTGAGGGAGGAGGCGTGACCCTGCCCACCTTCAGTGGCCCCCAGACTGATGAAGTACACACTTGTTTCACTGGGCCACAGCCTGAGGAAGATGCAATTCATTGACTTTCAAGGTCCCCGGGCTGATAGAGGAAGCACAGCCCTGATCCAGGTCCCCACTCTGGGGGAGGCCCAGCTGCTTCCCAGTGCTCTAGTCTGCTGGGGGCACAATGGGGCAGAGGCCTCACAGATCTCACTATAGCTTGTACATAGCACAGGGACCAGGTTTGTGATCAGCACAAGCAGAGGGCAATGGGGGGAGCTGGTCCAGCTAGTGTCTCTCTGTGCGCCCAGGACAGGTGGTGAGGTCAACTCTATCCTGGAGGCTCCTGTTGCCAGGGTCCCCCAGGGAACTGATGGAGGAGATGGCAGATTAGACCTGACAGTTCCCAGGACATGATCACAGCTGCAGAGATGGGAAGGTCAAGGTGGGGGTGGGGAGGGGAGGGCTCCAACCAGATCCTAGGGTGCACCTGCTCTTGCCTGGGGGAGGGGCTCTCACTTAGGGTGTGAGAGCCAAGAATTCCGGGGGAAAAGCAGACTCCAACACGAACATTTCAGGCTTAAGATCAGCTTGGTGGTTCACTGGGGAGGTGGAGGCTAGTCTGGGCTACATGGGCCAGTCTCTCTACTGCTACTCAGTACCAAGCTCGCTGTGTTCTATACAACAGACTCAGCCTCGGCAGTTTTCTTACAGTACCAGAACACAGACTAATGCAATGCCAAATTGTGAACGAAGGACACATGCTGAGGGTGGTGTTTGGCCAAAATTCCAGGTAAGGGTTAAGCCCTGGTTACACAGTCCGGCAGGGTTGCTCGCTGGTCCCCCTGATTGTCAATTGATTTTCTTCTTTTTCACACAGTATTATTGTGTTGTGGATGGAGCCCCAGGCCTTGTTGGGAGACGGTCCCCAGGGATCCTGCCCCATGCCAGATAGTATTCAGATCTGTCTGTAGCAGGAAGGGATGGTACCAACAGGCTCCCCATAACTCAAGGACTGAAGGAGTGGACCAAGCTGTCGATCCTGGGGCTCCTGGGGCTGAGGGACATTGCCTCTTCATACCCTGCCAGGACCCATGGCAGACACTGTCACGAGGTGTTTGCTGAGGGTGCCTTTCTTGTTCCCATCTCCTCTGGTTTCTTGGGTCTGTGATGCCACTGTGGGGGCTCAGCTGTCACTGTCCTCGCTGTCCCCATATGCACCCAGCTGGCTCAGGGAGGAGGCCCTGGGTGTCTGGGGTGCATGGCTGGCTGCCTTCCTGCTCTCGGGGGCACCTGCAGAAGGCATCTGGACCTGTTCTGAGCCCCTGTTGACTTCCACCTTTACCTTCTTTGGCACAACCAAGCTGGCCAGCTGTGCTCTACGGCCTACTGCCTCTGCCTTCCTCTTGGTCTTTAGCGCCTCATCCAGGATGGCTGTGGGGTTGGGTCTTGCTACTGCCCGTGGTCGGCAAGGCGGAGCTTCATCTTCTGAGTCAGAATCCTCCAGAAGCCTGGCGTGGTGGTGAGCCTCCTCCAGCAAGGCCGCCGTCTCGCGCTCGTCTGCTGTCGCCGCTGCTCCTGTGACAGGCGGTGCTGCAGGAGCATGGCCTCGAAGTCCACGTGCGCCTGCCGCTGGTTCAGGTCCTTCAGCTCCTGCAGGTTTTCCAGCACCTCCATCTCCAGCTTTGAGTCCTTCGTGCGGTTCTCCAGAACCTTCATGGGGTTGTTCAGCTCCTCATCCTCGCGCTCCTTCTGCACACGCTTCTCCTCCTCCTCCTCCAGGAGCTTCTCGGCCTGGAAGTTGCGCGTGGCACCATGCTCCATGGTGTACTCCGTGTTCTCCGGGTCTGTTTTGAACGTTATCTCGGCCAAGCAGCGCGTGCACTTAATGTAGAAGCGGAAGATCGGCAGGCCCAGGTAGGCCTCGTTCTGGACCGTTTCCTTGCGTGCATTGAATTTCTTCCCCTTGTAGATGTATTCTCCACATGTTTTACACCTCATGTTGAAGGGGGCCATCAGCCGAACCACATACTGCCGGTCCTTGGGTAGCTTGAGTTTCGGGATCTTTGATGGGTCGAAGTCAGGTGGGTAGTATTTGTTCAGAACTTTGCGTTCTGACATCTCGCTTCCTCTCGGCCGCACAAGCGAAGAAGTGATTTGCTTCGGCCCTCTCGAAGTTTATATCCGACCTGGGCCCCTGCAGTTCTCTTGACGTCACTTCCTCGGCCGTCTTACTGGCTGTAGCCTACAGGCTTTAGCGTTCTCATTGGCTGCAATCTCTGTCGATCAACACTGCGCGTGTGCTTTTGTTCTGTTCCTGAATGCTTGTAGGTGGGGAGAAAATAAAGGTTCCGGGAGCATCCGGACCGCCCGTGTGCGAGTATGCCAGGCTGGAAAGCCCGGGGAAAGCTATCCCAAGTCAATAAGATTTTGTCCGGCACCACTGCTCTATTGATGTTTGGTTTTGAGTCAGGATCTCACTGTGTAGCCCAGGCTGGTCACGAACTCACAGAGATCCTCCTGCCTCTGCCTTCCGAGTGCTGGGATTAATGGAGTGGCCACCATGCCCCGGGTCTGTTGTTCCTGTGTTCGTCCATTCCTTCCTTTCTGGTACTGTGGATCGAACCCAGGGTCGCACATGCCAGGCAGGTATTCTACCACTGAACCACTACCCAGCCCTCTTAATCTTCTTTTTTGGTTTTTCGAGCAAGGTTTCTCTGTGTAGCAGGGTGTCTCTGTGTAGCTCTCTGTAGCCCAGGCTGGCCTGGAACTCACAGGGATCCGCCTGCCTCTGCCTCCTGAGTGCTGGGATTAAAGGCGTGCTCCACCACTGTCTGGCTCCCTCTTCATCTTTTGAGACAGCCACTCCCTAAAACGCCCAGAGGGAGCTCTCAGTAGCCCAGGTTGGCCTTAAATTTGCAACAGCTTTACTGCAAGTCTCTTGAGTAGCTGGAAATTAGTGGCCTGCCTGGTTCTCATTATGTTTTTTTGTTGTTGGTTTGTGTTTTCTCTCTCTCTGATTTGTAAGACAGGAACTTGTCGTGTAGTCCAGGCTGTCCTTGAAATCTCAGTAATCCACCTGCCTCTGCCTCCCAAGTGCTGGGATTAAAAGGCGTGCACCACCACGTCAGGCCTAGACGGGTTTTTACATTTGCTTGTTTATTATTTGTGCATACAAACTATGGCAAGCCCCCGCCATTTTGTGGTTTATATGTTTATGAACTACCCTCATAGGGAAGTCCATAGAGATAGAAAGTGTCTATGTAGTCATTAGGGTTGAGAGAAGAGACAGATGGGAAGCAACTGGTAATAGGCCTGGGCCTTCTTTCCCAAGTGGTAAAAATACCCTGTACTTAGATTGTTTTGATGGTTGCACAACTGTGGATACACTAAAAACGATCAGATTGTGCCTTTAAAGTGGGTGAATTTTAAGTATGCAAATTATGCCTTAACAAGATGTTAAAAAAGACAATGTGAAATGATTCAATCACTAAATGTCACAGTGATCCTCTTTCCCTTCATTTTACGGCATTGAATAAATGGTCCTCAGAAACAAAATCAGGTAATTCAGACATTGTTTGTTGGGGAAGCACGTGTCTTTGAAAATTCTAAGAGAAGCCTTTCTTCTCAATTCCTTCCCCACGTATTCCCCTACTGTAGTTTGAACCGCTGTCACCAGTTGAATGCACTGAATCTGAGTTTTAATTTTACATTCTTGTGCATGGCCTGTGTGCGTGCATGAGTGCGTGTGTGCATGCGTGTGTGTGTGTGTGTGTGTGTGTGTGTGTGTGTGTGTGTGTGTGTGTGTGTGTTTGTGCAAATGAACCATGCGCATGTGTATGAGGAATGTAGAAGTCAGAAGACAACTTGTGAGAGGGAGTTGGCTCTCTCCTTTCACCTCGTGGGTCCCTGGGATCAAACTCTGGTCATGGAGTTTGGAGGCCAGTGCCTTTCCCTGCTGAGCCATCTCCCTCAGTGAGCAAAGGTACTTGTATTGAAATAGAATGTGGCAGAAGTAGCACTATTCTTTTCAAGGGGGTGTTCGTGGTACTCTCTGCTTATCATTACCATAGTTACTGGCATTATCATTCTGGAATTGCTTTTGAAAGGTTGTGATCATCCCTCTTGAGTACTCATAGTAATTATTTGAATCTGAATTTGAATTTTGAGCTATGATCAAAGCAGTAATCATGTTGAGCTGTATCTCTGGGGTTCAAAGGTCGGTATCTATCTGGCTTTACCCAAAAGAGGACTTCAAATTATTTTGATTTATAGCTGTGCATTAGCTATTTTACATATTCTCTTTCAGTATCAAAAGATGTCTTCCAGGCTCAGTGTAGGTAAGCAGGGTAGCAGTAAGCACATATTGCAGTTAGTATCATAGGGACTTGTGAGCAGAGGTGGCTATCTCAGGCCTTGCCAGGACCACAGCTGCCACAATTGGGCTCCACCCTAGCAAATGTAACCCAAAGAGATAAGGAAGATGGCTGGGGGACCTATGCACTGGAGGATGAAATTATGAACTGCAACATTGACAGTCTGTTCATCTTATCAGCTGCCTGGTAATAAGGAGGACGCTAGATGTCATTAAGGCCTTCTCCAGTTAGAAAGGCCTTACCTACCTGCAGGTCACCCTCGGTCCCCTAGCAAACTTCCTATGTTGGAGGTCTGTTTTTCATGAAACTCTCCCAGCAAAGGGCCTTCCTGTCTTCCCACTCAAGGTCTACCTCCTGACTAAATCTTCCACCCAAATGATCAGGTTGCTTAATGGGACTGCTGACCTGTGTGTCTCCAACATGCTTCTGACCATCAAGAGCCTATGGATCCTCTCTGATCCCAGTCTGTGCTCAGTGAAGCGGGCTGCCTGCTCATGGAGAAATACAAGTATGGTGCCCTTGTCTTCTGCCCATGGAGAGCCATCTGGTGCAGGTAACTCAGGCAGCTGAACTGCCAAGGCTAGACCAATCCTGTCCAGTGGCTATGGAGCCTTTCCTACTGATCTCATGCCCACTAGGGGCCTGAATTGAGACCAAGGTCTCTAGAAGCATGAATATGAGCATCATAGGAAGCTGGAAGTCAAGAATAGGTGCAGGAAGTCAGCACTAAGGTGGCTCTAATGGGCTGATTTCCCACTTCCCTCCCTTCCTACCCCATTCCTTCTCACTCTGTGCTATTGAAATTATGGTTGGGGTGGGAGAGGTTGCAAGTGTGGAGGGGCACTAGGACCTCAATTTGGGCTCCTAGATGAAGTTAGAAAAGCATAAAAACAGTTTTAAGCCACAGGGAAAACACATCATTAGAGAAAGTGACACCCATGAAGAGTAATTAACATTTCCAACTATTGCAATTTGTGAAGAAATTCTTCATAAGTTATCTCAAAAATTCCAATGAGAACTCTGAAAGATTAAAAAGAATCCCATTAACAGAACATAACACTTATGTATACAAATAGTGAAAAAGTAACAGCCCAATTCTTAAAGGTTCTTGTGTGTACAGTGGGTCTAGAGCTTGTTCTTTTTAAAGCTAGGAATGCTGTCTGCTCTGAGACATACATTGTAAAACGCACTTGCTGAGAAATCCTTATATATGATAGTGCTCATTCATTCATTCATTCACAGAAGGACCATCACATGCCAGAAGCTGTCTTTGGTATTGAGAATTTAGAGAACAAAAGAAGAAAAAATCTCCGGACCCCATGAAGTTTATCCTCTGGTTAGAAAAAAAATGTCAATAAACGCTTTAAAATTAATAAAATATTAGTAAAATATATGATAAACTTGATAGCATAGATAAAGCAAGAGGTGAGACATGAAACCACATGGATCAATCTGGGGAAGAGAGGACGAGATAGAGGGCAGAGCAGGTGCTGAGCACAAAGACTGAAATGCTAGTGCATACTCAAGAGGCAGTCAGAGAGAGAACAGGGGCCAGATGATGATGGAGATGTAGACAGTGTGTGTGGTGGTGTTTTTTTTTTTTTTTTAACTCAGTGATATATGGCACCAATAGGCATTTGAGGAGCGGATAACGTCTTAGCCGTGTTCTAAGAGGGTTACTGTGTCACTGTGTTTATCTGATAGGGAGCAAGGGTATGTGCCTTACAGGTATATCTACTGTCCTGTGGTCTCAAGTGGCGTTCTCAGACTCTGGTGATTCTTAGCATCCCTATGCCGTATCCTGGGTGCGGGAGTCCCTGCTATTCTCATTTATAAAGCTTCCCCCTTGATTCCCTGGCTGCTTATCTAGAGTGTGTATCAGAACTAAAGGAATCTAAGGTGGAAAGCATACTATTTGTTACTTCTAAACCAGAGCACTACAGATATGGGTGGGACCCAGAACTCATAAATCTAAAACCCGGGTCCTGAACCTGGAAGCCCTGATGTAAAGTAATGCACGATCTCAATGACACAGGTACCTGGAGTGGTTGGCACCTGAGTAAGTGCTGTGTTTTAGTATGTTTGTTGTCAGTGGAGTTTAAATATATGGCTTCAGAGTCTAATTCCATGGAAAGAAAGGACAAAAAGCAAATTTATCAACTTGATAGGAAAGAGTGAAGGAATGGCCCAACAAAAGGCCCATACTTATTCAATGCTCCCATTTCTGGGCTGGGGGGAAGACAGCACTCTAGTTGTAGCTGCACTTACTCCAACAACTTTCTTACGTGATATTTAGTAGTAGAATATTAGCAACAACCGGAATCTAGAGGTTCTAGTTTCCCTTTAGTTTGTGTACAATGAAGAACAAGGAAAGCAAGATCAAGAGAACGACACCAGGTGGCAGCTTGCTGATGCTCTGTAGAAATGGTAAGGGGAAGGGATCGGGCTGTCGTGTAGAAGCCTCTAGGGATACCGGTTGTGGCCCTCGAGTGTGCACCTCACGTGGTGATGGTGCTAGTCGCTTTAGGAGGACTGGGTAGGCCATGAAACCCCCTGACGTACGGTAACTTTGTTGGGAAACGTACTGTGGATGTCCCAGCAGATTTTCGTTCTCAGCAGCTTCAAATCAAGAAAGTACCATGTGTGGTTTAACTAGAGGAGAAGACTGTCTGTCTTCTAGAATATTCCATGTATAAAGTGCCTCAAGGGAGTAATGAGAAGAAGTGTACATTTTCCTTTTTCAGGGAGTAGATGTCATTTATAGTGCTAAGTTCGTGTGTGTGTGTGTGTGTGTGTGTGTGTGTGTGTGTGTGTGTGTGTATGCATGCATGCAGAGGACAGCCTTAGCTATTATTCCTTGGGTGCTGTGTACATTGTTTCAGAGGCGGAGTCTATCATTTTCTTGGAACTCACCATGTGTGCCAGTCTGACTGGCTAATGAGCCCCAGTAACCTGTCTCTGCCTCTGCAGCAGGGGCATTCTTACAAGGACTGATCACTAAGCCTGCATTTTCTTTTCTTCCCTCCCTCCCTCCCTCCCTCCCTTCTTTTGTGAGTTCTGAGAGTTAGAACTCAGGTTCTCTCCCACACAGGGCAAACACTATCCTGACTGAAATGCTACCCCAGTCCTATGGGGTTATAGTCAAGTGAATTCTATTTCCTGGGTGCTCAGCACTCTGAATAATTCAATCTTCGGATTCCTGAGACAGATGGCAAAGGTACTGTGACACAGCAAATGTTGTCTGCCATCCTCGGGCTCTGCCTCTCCCAGTTTCAATGAGGAACCTCCCTTTGCTCAGTCATGCATACCTGCTTCCTGCTTTGGAGCCTCTGTGTCTTGGAAATAGCCTGTCAGGTCCCATCTGCCACATGAAGTTTCCAGTCTCCAGAGAGTAGGATCTCCACTCTGAACTCTTGTCAGATGCTGGAGACCCAGAAGGGAATAACCCTTCCAATCTGCCCAAAATTGTTTTTGTGATATCAAGGCATGCTTCAGGGAGCTACAATATACTGTACTCAGATGAAAATGAGATTTGTAAGTACACTGCTTTCTTATCTAGGCAGCTTGAGAAACATCTTTCACCTTCCTAGGGAGAGCTGTGAAGGCTTTAAATTTATAGTCATTAATAAGCAGGATCGTGCAAACACAAATATTGTTTTCCTATATCAGGCAGGTGTGGAGAAAACCCAAGAATAGACAAAAGGCTTTTCACTAGTGAAAAATGGAAGTTAGACTTCATGTCAGCTCCAAAGAAAAGTGGATTACGGCAGGTGCAATTAATTGCCATTACATTTATTGGAACCTTGAAAACAATTAGCAAGTGTCCTGGTTGATATGACGGATTCATTAATCATTTAATATATTCCTGCAAATTGATTTATCCATCAAATAACTACCTCTGGTTGAATTACTCATGGCTGTGATTATGACTCTATTCCTAACACTCATGTTTTAAAAGGAAAGCAAAAGGCTTAACTTTATTCAGTCCCTTCCATTTTAGTGTTTAAATAGATTGGATTTTACTATTTGCAAGTTAGAGAACAGAGGAGCTTCACAGGAAGACATCTAGAAGGCAGGGGTAACTATGTTCAGGTCAGATGTCCATTTCACGGGGGACAAGTTTGTAGGGGCAAAGGACACACCTAGAGCGAAGTCTTGAGTATAATATACCTAGCCAGGACTTAGGAACAGCTAACCCCGTCCAAGTTAATTTTAAAGTTGCTAGATAAGCGAACAAACCCTGATAATCAAGGGACATTTCTCCCATGGGATCTCTGATAGGTAGGCAAGCCACAGCCTCTTGAGTTCATGCATCTAT